TCGCCTCGGCGGGCGCGGAAATTTGTTGCACTTCTTGGGGCTTTGTTTGTTTGTTTTTCCTGTGATTTTTTTTTTTCGCTATTTTGGACAAAATGTCGGTCCGTGATGTAAAAATTGAGCGAGAAACCTTGATGGCATTGGGAGCTTTGCAGAAGGTGCAGTTTGGATTCTGCTTTTCCCAGGGTGGCTGCTCGGTCTTGGCCGGATGAATCTTCGCTGCTGGCCGTGGAAACGGCTGGAGCAGCTTGTTAGTTGATTTTTAAATTCCTAAGTGTTGTATTTAAAGGCTTAACGTGCACGGAGGAGGAATCGCCACCTTAAATAAGCATATGGGCGATTAACAGGGTATGTTGTCCTCTCGGAAAGGGAATTTGGTAGCTTTGACCAATGTCAGTGTGTAAATATTTAGACATTATTAGTGACTTTTGGACATTTTTTCAGCAAGATCTGTTATTTACAGTGTGTCATATGTTATTAATGCTCATTGCCTAAGTTCCTTGGCAAATCTGTTTCATTGCCTTCTCAGAAAGTAGACAATTGATAGATTGTCCAACGGATGGAAAAAATGTGAGTGGGTTTTCTAAGTTGAGTTCGGTCCTTGAACGCTGGCGTTGAGACACATCACCTCATCTGTAACCTTGCTGTGTGTGAAGTGTGATCACTTTTGAAGCTTTTTCATTAAAATACAATTTTAGGTAGCTATTAGAAGAAAAAGCCTTTCGTGTATTCTAGTCTCAACATGTCTTTTCTTTTCTCCTTGTCTTTTAAAAAGTTTTCCAAGAAATAACTTCATCAAGATGTCCAGTGATAGGCAAAGGTCTGATGATGAGAGTCCCAGCACCAGCAGTGGTAGTTCAGATGCGGACCAGAGAGACCCAGCCGCTCCAGAGCCTGAAGAACAAGAAGAAAGAAAATCTTCTGCCACCCAGCAGAAGAAGAACACCAAACTCTCTAGCAAAACCACTGCTAAGTTATCCACTAGTGCTAAAAGGTAATGTGTGAAGGACACGTTAAGTGTAATGTCAGGGTGTCTTCCAAATGGCTGGATTTTTTTGTTGACTTTGTATCAGTAGCAATAGTTCAAATTTTTTTACTTCACGATCTTTTTTTTTTTTTGTACTTGAGTGAGTTGTCATTCTTAAGGTAGCATATGAGCCACCTTCTTAGAATGTATCAGTAGCAATAGTTCAAATTTTTTTACTTCACGATCTTTTTTTTTTTTTTGTACTTGAGTGAGTTGTCATTCTTAAGGTAGCATATGAGCCACCTTCTTAGAATGACACTTTTAAGCAAACTTGTTCTGTGCTTTGGTAACTTCTCAGTTAAGTAGAGATTGGATTAGTGTTCTGCAGTTTGGTTAAGGGGTTAGCAAGGAGAATTTGGTGAATCCAAATTAGTTGGTACTTTGAAGGTGTTGAGGGTATTTCCCTTTTATGAATCCTATTCCCATTTGTTGAAACTGACATTTCTAGAGATCAGCAGTTTCTCTCTTCATGAAACCATGATCAGAAATGATCAGGTTAGTTAGAAAATTTAAGGACATCGCTCTGTTTGAAAACAGCTTTTAATTGTGCTGTAAATCTTTCAAGTTTTGTAAAGATGATTTGAAATTATGTGTCCCAGTCATTACTTTTTACAGTAAAGTTTATGGTCATGAGGGCAAGACAGGAAAGTGGCTATTCATTCACTATATTAGGTGGTAGCTGGCAGTTGAAAACTGATTGTCCTGTGCCTCTTCACTCTGAAACTTGTGGATATGTTTGACACGTTAATACTCAACAGCAGGAGAAACATATTTTGTTGGGTATAAGTGAAAGATCATTTGTTTTCTGTTGATTTATATTATCTGTGATGGTGAAAAAAAGATCTGTCAGTGGGATTCCATCAGTGGTAGTGGTATTGGAATATCTATGACTTCTAGCAATTCATCAGCTCTATTTTCAGCTTTAGCCAATATTGACATTTTGTTTATTTGTATTGATCCCAGCTGACAGAAAAAGAAAATAGGTAAAGTTGGTCAAATAGTCAGAAATACTCTTTAATTTGATTAGCACCTCTGTCGTATTAGTAATCAGATGCGAATAATTTGTATATTTTATCTTGTTGAGGATATAATAAACATGTAAGTTTTGAAAGCCTTTGAAATTTAAATGAAATCTGAGAACTGCTTACCCCCCTAACTCAAGCTGTATAATATAGCTTCTTATGTTCTTTCCCCCCAAGTTTATAAATACTGTACGAAACAAGCAAGGAAAACAGATTTGGTTAAATAAGAATGCCAGTGTCCTTTGGAAGTTTTTCACTGGTAAAGATATTTATAAATTTTAAACTTTTTTTGGGGTGGATATTGTCAAAACTATTAACATGCTCTTACAGTAGCTTATAAATTCTTACCTGGGTTAGAGTGACTTGAAGTCATTGTCAAATATTCTAGTGCTTTCCCTTCTCCCTCCCTCTTGTCTCATTTGCATATTAGCTTGAAAAGAGAATTTCTTTGCTAAAAAGTGTTTTAAAATAGATTTTATATCCTTTACTGAGTACTAGTGGAGGACTATTTCTCAAATCAGGTGTAAATGTCTTACTTATTTACAGTAGCAAGTGAGAAAAAAAGCTGCAAAGTTTCTGTTAAGGGATTTGGGTTATGCCTCTGAGAACAAAGAGGAAGCAGCCATGTTAGCATTACTGAAGGCAAAGCCAGCCTTGCATTTAACTGCATGGTGGTAGAGGGCAGTGTAATTCCCCGGTTGTTCTGTAGACTATCTCAAATCCTTTTTGTCTGTTCTCATTTCACTAACAGAATTCAGAAGGAGCTAGCTGAAATAACCCTTGATCCTCCTCCTAACTGCAGGTAAGGAGTGATTTTTGCTGTTTTGATTTCAAATTGTAGAAAAATATTAAAAGATATTATTTACCCTGGATATGTGTACTGCAGAAGAGGCTGCAGTTGCTTTTTTTCGGCTTTGCTAGTAGATATAAACAAAATATCTAAGGTGAATTAAGTAAATTTGGGAGGAAAAGATGCTTTTTAGTCTTTTGGACTTAATAGGTATACTGATTTGTGCTTATTGAGACTAGCGTGAATGGTGCTGATTTTGTTCTGCTGTAATATTTCAGTACAATGTTTATTCAGAAGTATATTGCAGAAACTTCTAAAATTTTGCTAAGCTTTAAAGTTACTGCTTGTGTGCAATCTGAACTGACCTTCCAAATTTAGAAATTGCTGAATGTGGTGTTACAAAATGTAAATGCAGTAAGCAAGAGTATAGTTGTTTCTTCTTGATTTATTTAGTAACTTGCCTTAAGGACAAGTTCTATTTGCTAAGGTAATCGTTTTAGTTGTTTTCTGTAGAATGTATTGTTAGAATTACATTTTAATCAAATGTCCTAATTACTTGGGAAAATTCTTAGTAATTTTGCTACTTGAAATATGTGTATGAAAAGAAGTAACTGGAATTTGTGGGAACATTTCATTTCAGTGTAATTCAAATAGAATAATTTAAGATTATTGGTCAGTAAGGTGCATTAAAAGTAACTGGTGACAGGTAATGTTTTCCCTGAAAATTTTTTCAATTCATCTTATTTAGTGCTGCAGTTTTCAGCAGTGTCTATATGACTTCCAAAATTCATCAAAGTTCAAAAAAGTCTTGTAGAAAATTTGCAGAGAGATATACGCAAGGAGAATGACTACTAGATATAAGGCAATATTAGGGTTTTTGTGTCTTACTTGTATTTTTTCTATAAATTGTGTTCACTTGTGATGATTAGACCTATCTCCAAAGTCTGCTTGAGATGTAACAAGGTATAATCCAATTGCTTCTTACTGTGTGTGTTAACTGGATGCTCTGATACGTTGATCTTATCCTGCTTTATCCATTGCATTAATAGCTTTGCTCTTATTTGTAATCAGCCATTTCAATTCCAAAAGGAAACATGACTAAACTAATTTTAAACAGAGAACTGGTCTATTATAACTAATAGCCACATGTGGCTCTTCACCATTTAAGTTCTAGCTGGTTCAAAATGAGATGTGCATTAAACATAAAACACACAGTGGATTTTTAAAACTTAATATGAAAGAAAGAATATAAAATGTCTTACTGATTTGTTTGTCCTGTGTTGAAATGATAAACTTTGGTATGTAGGGTTATATAAAATGTTTCCAAATTTATTTCACTTACTGTTTGAATATATAACTTTTAGAAAGTTTAAAATTATATATGTGGATTGCATTATGTTGCCATTGAGTGGTGCTACTTTAGAGAATGAATAACTTAAAATATTTCTTTCCAGACTTGTAAGTGGTGTAGCTGTTTAGGGAGTCAGGTTAAATTTCCTCTCTTCAAGAGTCATTTAACTTACAAAATGTATTGTGATATATTCCATTATGGAAGATATAAAGGTCTATCAGTTCAAAATCTTGAAATAGTTTTAAAATTTCATGTGAGGTCAGACTCCTCAAAATTTCTTTTTGATTTTCTGAAAATGGCTCAAACTAAATTGTGCATAAATTTAGAGAACCCAGTATATATGTTGAATGCCCTTGGAGAAATCAGTTCAACAGAAAAAGTGTCGCGTGGAAGAAGAAACATGTTTTATGTAGTTGATCAGGAATGGTTCCACAAGGCCACTGAGAATTATTTGAGCAAGTAGAATCTTTCTAGGAGATAGAAAAGTTTTAATTTGTTTTTCTTTTTATATACCAGATTTCATTCACGTCCATGAAGTAATACTTCACATTACTGATTGTAGACTAGTGAAAGAATGAAACTTTAAGCTTGCTTGTGAACAGTAATATGAAATGCATATTGTGATTTCCCCTTACAACTTATGATAAATGTCAACTATCACAAATGACCTCTGTCAGCTTTCTGGTTCTTTAAGTATGTGAGCTGCTTAGTGGTTGTGTGAGTGATTAAAGAAAAAACATAAAAATACGAGTACTAGAAGGGAATTGGGAGTTGTTGTTTCTTTCTAGTTTGGATATAGTCTCCCATGCTTGACATGTAAAATATCCAGTACTTTTCTGTGGTTTATTGTGTCTTGCTCCTCCTTTGGGTGGAAGGTCAAGTTAGTCCTTGTCCTTCGGAGTTTGGAATATAGTGTGTCGCATGGAAGTATTGTAGAATTTTGACAACTAAGTCCAAATTTGTATTGTATTTTCACCTTCATGTTAGATACATGACAGACTATGGTATTATCTTCTTGTAGTCATAGGTGCATTGGTGAAGAGTTTAGCTCTATGGTAATTATGTATTTTAAATTTATTTATACTTTAATTAAAATGGGATTCTATATTAATCAGTTCTAGACTGTGAATTCATATTGCCTAATATCTGAAACTTAATGCTTTTGACTTTTAGGTATAGTTAATCAGAATTCCATTATGGTTCTGCATGATTTTTACAAGCTTGTCAAAGTATGTGACAGATTTAATTCCTCCTGTGGGAGGAAATATAAAGTATATCTGTGTACATTCAGGAAAAAGTTAAATGATATACAAAAAAAATTGAGAAAAACTAAATTTACTTAGACTAGATTAAGCTTTCTTTTAAATCTCTTCTATGTTTAATTAATAAAATACTTTTAGTTAAGACATAGCCATATCTAATGTCTATACACCCAGGGTGGTACTAGGATAGACTTACTTGTTTAAGTAAGTGTGTGGCTTGAAACATGTTTGAATATGTTTTGATAGCATTGATCTCCTTTTTTCTAGTACTATAAAAGTTTTTGGAGAAAATATTATTTCTAGCGATTTGATACCATTTACATTTTTAGGTATTGGAATACCTTAGGCCAAAGCATTCTAATCACAGGAATAATTCTTAATTAGAACCTTCAATATACTCTACATATTATTTTCAACATTAGGCTATAAATTTTACACCAATAAAGGCCCTCCCCGGTGGTGCAGCGGGTGGTGCACTTCACTGTGAAACTAAGCCAAGCTGTGGCCCCTAACGTGTGAGTTTGATTCCCACAGTGGGTGAGCCACATGGCATGGCAGACATCTCCTGTTTCACCTGCTGCTTCCCTCAGCAGTGTAGTTTGTCGATCTGCCTGTTCTGCTCCCCACTGTCTCTGGTGAGTCCTCTTGCTGCCTCTGAACCTCTGGTCTATACCTCAGTTCTATATGCATAAATAAATAAAATCTTTATAAAAAATTGTACACAATGAAGGAAAATAGTTTTGTGGCCCTTCCCCTCTTTATTTCTAGCTAAATTTATTGACTAGAATTGTTGAGTGTTAGGCTGTTAAGACATTTATAGTGCATCTTTTTTTCTGTAGGGTGTCCTTTTCTAAGTTACTACTGGTGTAAGCTGCAGAAGTTTAGAAAGTTTCTGGATTTTAAAGTCAACTTCTTATTCTCCCCATAAATGAGAATGTGCAGATAGCATTCTTAAATATTCTTTAGTATGTCCAGCTTGAATCTATGTTAAATATTTAGGATCGTTTGCAAGTAGGATTTGTATGTGTAGGAAAGACCTTATTGGAAGAGGTGTCAGTAGTATTAATAATGTTCACTTCAAAGTCTGGCATAGGTGCTGTGTAATATTTGAAGATTTTTCTAACTTCCATTTTAAAAACAAAATACTATAAAAGGAGCAGTTAAATTCTAAGACATTGGTGACACTAATTTGCTTATAATCCTAATTATCTCATTGTGATGAACTCTCCTCCCAATTTCTAGGGTAGAAACTGAGATGCTCAGAGCAAGAGCATCTGCATCAAAGGGGAGATGATCAGAAATGTAGAATCTTGCTTCTCCCACTACAGAAGTATTGAAATGAAATCTGAATTTCAACAAGCTTCCCTGGTAAACTATTTGTATATTAAGATTAAGAAAAGCACTGGTGCTAGAACTAGACTGAGTTCAAACTTTTGTACTGCCCCTATTAAACTGTTACCTTTCCTAAGATGGAGTAATTTTGTTTTAATTTCCTTAACTGTCAAGTGGAGATAAAAATGGTATGCACTCCTATTAAAGGTTTGTTATGAAGATTAAAATATGTTTTAGAGTGTTAGAGTGTAAATTGGTTGGTTAAGTGGGCTATCATACATGGTTAAAATAGGAGCTGCAGTTTAGCAGCAGGCCATCCTTGCTGGCATTTTTCCAGTGAAAAACATGCTACAGGAGTAATTTCTTTTTATTGCAGCACCTATTTATTGAGAACATAATCAAGAAACTTTTTTTTTGATGTAAGAACAGATCTTAGAAACTTGATTATAAGAGAAAATTAACTCAAGAACCTAAGGCAAAGATTTATAGTAATATATATAGTAATAAAATACAGTATGAAGATACTATATTTCCTCTTAAAGAAATATGTATGAGATGAATCATATTTAATCCCACAGGGGATGCTCTGACTAGCCAGAAAGTAGTTATAATTGAAATGTTTAGAGGGTGTCTCGTCATGTTTTCCCTTTTAAATATCCCATTATAAGAATTTGCAGTTTTTCTGAGTATGTGATATTTGTGAAATTTAGATTCTAAATTGATACATGTTACCTGTTCCTTAATATAGCATTTTTCCTTGTTGGTAAACTAAGGAGAAATTTAGGAAGTTTTTCCTAATTGATGTGTGATGGCAGGTAATGATCAAACTAACATGTGATATCTACATAACATTGTTGGTGACCTATAGAGAACTTGATTTTAGTCCTTTTACACATTACATAGATTCTGTGTTTATTTTTATTTGTATGAGACAGGATGTGTTGGTGTAAAACAACCATTTTTTATAAAATGAAATTGTATGTCATTAATCCTCCAGTTCTTATTTAAACTCTTTTTAAAAAAATTCGACTTCCTTTTTTATAAAGATTAAATCTTAATTGGAAACA